TGCTATCTGGGTGGAAAAACCGACTTTTAGTAATTTTTCAGAAACCCTTCTATTAAGTTTCAAGTGTAAGAATCGCGGACATTTTACTGTTTCATAGCTGTCTCAGAGCTATTGCAGAAACATTTTGTGATATTTCTGAAATATTTCTAAGAGATTTTTGTAACCTTACAGAAATCTTTCTATAAGCTTTCAAGTGTAAGAATCGCGGACATTTTACTGTTCCAGAGCTGTCTCAGAGCTATTGCAGAAACATTTTGCAATATTAAATTTATGAAACGTTTCAATCTATCACATGAAATATTTCTGAAATATTTCTGAAAGGTTTTTGTGCTGTATGGGTCTCAAGAAGCAGTTTTTTGGGGGGAACTTTAATGCATTATTTTAGTTTAGGTTTAGGGTTAGGGAGGATTTGAGACCTAGGGCTCGATTCTCGAATTCATTCGAAAGAGAAACGTACGCGAAAATTCTGTTTTTACAGAAAAGTTGTAAGCTGATCGGCTGTTCGCATGGTTTTTGACCAATCGACTTGCAACTTTTCTGCAAGAGCAGAATTTTCGCATACGTATCTCTTTCGAGTGAATTCGAAAATCGAGCCCCTGATGAAGCAACTCTGACTTCGGATTCGTATTCAGCGGGTCAAAATACTTAAAAAAACATGTTCATATTACTTTAGTTCCGCAGACCGAGGGGTGAGTAGGTCTAGCAAAAGTGCCCATTTCGTGAAATAATGAGTTTTTGAGGTTAGGGACGATATATCTAGCAATTGTGCAATTCTGACCTTGGATTTAGATTTAGCGGATCAAAATACATAATACACCTATCTGGTCTTAGGCCCAGACAACTTTGTTTTGGTAGGGCTGTGTAATTATTGCAAAAAATATACCAATTGAAAAATAAGTATGTTTAATTCTTAGTTACAAAAATATTTAATATATTTGATTTCAAACGTAAGTAAAAGTCAAAACTAGAACAAATATCAATAAACTATTAAGAATACTCTTAAAAGTCGCCAGCCACAAATATCAATAACTAATCTGTATGAATATTGTTTTAATCTATCCATCGTCGTTCAACTTTGACCTTACAATCAGTTTAATTCATCTTTTCTCTTTCTGTCACCTTAGAAACAATGAATAAATTAAAGAAAAAGTGAAACAACATTGATGAAAACTGGGGTAAATTCTTTTCTACAAATAAATTATTTCTTGTTTTTATCTATTTTATTTTTAATTAGTTCAAAAACATCACTTTTTTATAATGCAACATGAGCAATTAACGCACAAAATGAAGAGAATATTTAGTCATTATATTTTACAAACAAAATTTTAAGTATTTAAATATTGAAAGCAATAAAATGTAATACATAATCTCGGAAACTCTTAACTATGTTTCAAACCGTGGGATTTCTTGTTTTGCAATCATCCTTTTTATTACGATACATAGCTTATACGTACATACATATTTCTTGTATATTCTATAGATATCACTGTATATTTTGTCAATAAGTCGAGCGTAAGTTGTAACAGAGATTTGTGTTGCGTATTTTAATGAGTAGCGTTATTGCGTCGTCCTCGTCTCTTGCGAGTACCGCCAGACGAACGATTTGACGAGGCCCACTGCTCGTAGAAACGTTCAGCTTCAAGCCATTCCTGATACTTGTACCACCATTCTTCCCATTTAATATAATCATCAAGAGTGAGGTCACGTAGGTATCCCCTTGCCTTGTAATAATCATATCGCACACGCACATCATCCCAACACTCCAAACCTCTTGGTCCTTGTGCCAGAAGCGATTCGGGATAATGCCCAGGAGGTGGCGAATCGTATCCTAGACGTGCAATTCTCTCCTCACCTTCTATGACGACTTTCATTGCATTTTCGCCATCTTTTGTGATGCGCATATTTTCCATGTCCCTGCGATCCACGCTCCATTGCGCCATTTTACCAAATCTATGATATAAAATCATAATTATACAGGGTGAGGAAAAAGTATGGAAACCCTAAATATCTCAGAAACTACGCATTTTAGAAAGATATGTTTCAGACAAAAGTTGTAAGGTTGAAGAAGGTCTATTTGCTGATCTTATCAGTTTGACTTTACATGGTCAGAGGTTATCTCAAATTTTTTAAATAAAACTCCCTATTTTTTATTGTATATTCCTGTAGCCCTCGCCGAGACGTTTCCAAAACACTACAATAAAACTTCTTTTGGTTAAGAAGTTCCTGAGATATTTTAAAATTTGTCAGGATACTTTTTAATACAAAATATGAAATATCTCGTAAGGTAGAGAAAGATCCGGCCATCTAAGACAAGTTCGGAAAAGATCCGATCATCTAAGGCATATTTTGTATTAAAAAGTATCTTGACAAATTTTAAAATATCTTAGGAAATTCTTAACCAAAAGAAGCTTTGCTGTAGTGTTTTGGAAACGTCTCGACGAGGGCTATAAGAATATACAATAAAAACTAGGCAGTCCCATTCAAAAAATTCAAGGTAACCTTGTCCTGACCTTGGCGACGCCATGTAAAGTCAAACTGATAAGATCAGTAAATAGACCTTTTTCAACCTTACAACTTTTGTCTGAAACATTTCTTTCTAAAATGCGTAGTTTCCGAGATATTTTGGGTTTCCATACTTTTTCCTCATTCTGTATAGAAAAACTAGAATCAAAATACTTGAATATTGCAAACTTATTTGAGTTTTGTAATACTGAATTATTTTGTTAATACCGTTCAGATAATGTCATTTTTGGTGGCCCGACATGAGATGTAGTCGAGGAACTGTCGCTATCGTCGCTAGGTGAAGATTCCGGTGGAGGCCGCATTATCGATGTTCCATGACTTGTATGTGTTTTTTCTACTTTTACTGGTTTACGTATCTGCATAATTTTGTAATACATGTATCTAGCATCTAAGGAACTATCAATAATTTTATAATTTTATATTTACTACAAATACAAAACATTTGCTAGAAAATATCTCTACATGATTTGATTAATTGTCATAAGTCCTCCCACAAAATAAACAGAAAAAAATGAGGATTAAAGAACGATAACAAAGCTATTACCAATGATATAGGTTCTGGTACTCGCGGATCCTCTGGTAATCTGCTGTGATGCTTTTCTTTACGGCGAACCTTGGTTTCTTTCTCCTTGATGTTCTTGTAATCCTTTTGATGACGCAGCTGCGGTTGTGGTGCCGGCGGTGGTGTACGTGGTCGCGGTAGAGGTGGCGACCGTGGTCTCGTGCGCGGCTGTAAGGCTCGCGAACTGGACGCGATTACCTCTTTGGGATGTGCCCTAGTTCGTACCGGACTGATTGATCTCGAGTGCGAGCGAGATGGCGGTGCGACGCGCCGTCGCTCTTTCGGCGAGCAAACGGAGCATGATCTATCGGAACAGGTACTACCCGTGCTAGAGCTGCGGGTGGCCGGTCTATTTTTATTGTGCTCGCGGGAAGTACGTTCACGCGGCGATCGTGGACTTCTCGTTCGAGGACTGCGCGGTCGTGGACTATGGGGACTACGAGATCTCGGACTTCTTGGACTCTTGGGGTGTCCTCTGCTAGGTTCGCTGCTGCTGCCAACGTACAACTCCTTGTATCCACTGTGACGCCATCTGTTTGGATCTCGCTCCTCCGCTTCCAATAGCTTTTTATTCCAGTAGCTCGACTGCGATTCGCGTGCCTTTCGCATCACATTGTCAATCTCTTTCCGCTTGCTCGAACTTTCACCATGTGGCCTGGATTGTGATACGCTCGTATCCATTCGTAACCTGCTTGAATTACTGCTACCGCCTCTTCTTCTGTCATAATCTCGTGACGACATCTCTAGGGAATTAATTTTAGAGGAATTAAATGTTTATATTGCATTAATATATAATAAAAAGTTATAAAATTAATTTTTTACAAAATGATACAAAACATTGATTAAATGTGTTTAATGTAAAATAAATAATTTTGGAAACATTAGATATGAAATTGATACATGTATAAAATTATAAAACATATTTACCTTATAAGTAAAGATACAAGATGGAAGACGAAGATAGAGCAAAAAAAAAATCTTGTCACCTAGGCACACCAGTGCAGTAATGCAGGGATTGATATTTAATCCTTCATACGCCGCATCTGTAAGGACAATGTTCCAACCTGCCGCAAACGCGCCGAAAGACCATTGGATGCGTCAGAAGCACGTCCTTAAGACTCGACTGACCTAGGTGAAAAATTCTACGCGTCACAAGTCTGGCACAAACGTTATTCAAAAGTTGAGAGACGTTAAAAGTTAGCAATCTTTAAAGAGAATTTTTGGGGGGATTTTGTTTTCTCACGTGAATCCGAATTTTTTTTTTGCGACAGTCCACAAGCATGTGTGCAAGATACGTCTTCGTTGCGAAGCGCGCATCGCCGACATGCGATGCTTTACCATCGGTGTCACTCACCGCGTGTCCATGAGATCCATGCGTGCCGCGGATGATTCCGCACGCGAGTTAAATCGCGATCAGAGTTCCGCGGGAGGGAAACTCAAGATTATCGGCGGACGGGCGCGCGCGCGGAATCGCCGACGACCCCGGGGTCACGAACCGCGAGAATCGGACGTCGCAATGTAGACGATCGCGATTGCGACGTCGCGCGCTTGTCTCCGGGTGTACGGCCCGAGTGACCCGCCGCGTCGGCAACAGTGGCACTCGCGGCGACAGCGGATGTGGCGCGTCAATTTAACATCAACGCTTAACCGACCGGACAAATCCGTGGTCGATAGGATTCGGCCCGTGCCACGTGAACGAGCATCATCCTTGTAGGCATCGCCCTCGTGACGGCGGCAGAAGGCAGGGCACATCGCCGGCCGATTCGTTGGCACTCGCGACGCGACTCTCTACTCCGACCTCTTCTATGGATGTCTGTCCCTTTACTAGCGGGACACAATATCACTTGTTTAACGCGACGTTCGGAATATCGGCCGGTGCCGCACAGTTACCGCATACGTCGAGGCTCCTGCGCAGGCCTCGAAGAACCGCGCGACGAACGTATGCGGTCCCGATAGAAGGCGACACTGTGCTCGAGGCGTTACCCGGGTAACGCTGCGACGTGAACCCCTGGCTGCGGCGGGATGCCTCGGGAGAGAATCGCCCGTTCGAGGAGAGAGCCTGACGATTGGTGTAGAGCGCGTGCGCGCACTCACTTGCCCGCTCGACCGCGTTAAGCTCTCCTCGCACCATTTTGTAAAACCGAAGGTCGACGGCGTCTTTTTTTCGTCTCCACTCTTTCTCTCTTCCTCTCACGCATATCCTCTTTCTCACTCGCTCACTCATTTATTACACACACACCGCACTCACACACTCTTTCTTTCTTTCTCTCTCGCACACACACACACACTCTCTCTCTCTCTCTCTCTCTCTCTCTCTCTCTCTCTCTCTCTCTCTCTCTCAGCTTCCTGCTTCGCGCACCAGATTCTCTTCTCTTCTCTCTCCCTCTCCCTCCGACCCCCTCCCTCCCTTCTAGTATCTCAAAATCTTGCCGTCACAGAACTTCGATTATTATGTAAATTATGAAATTTGGATGCGTCAGTTTATCTTGCGCGTGCAAGCAAGTTTATTCACGACGACGTTGATTCGTTAAAACTTCCGAACGGATGGAACGGCGGGCGACACGGCATTCAGTACGACACCAAAAATCAATTGCTCAAATCTTAGCGTATGCCTCGCGCGACCCGATTCGATCCGCGAGTGGATACGCTTTTTGTCGAAAGTCCCGCGTCTATCACGCGGGACGAACGGACACTCACTTTTCTTAACGCGACGACCCGATTACTTGCATTTTCTGGCACGTATCCCGGCGATTCGCTCTCGCGTGATGTCGAATATGTTCACAATGGACTTTTATAGGAGAGGTTCTCCTCTCTGTCACTTAGCCATTAACCATCGAGCGTGAAAAGATAGATGGCGAACTGGGTTCTCCGTCGCTGCAGCATAGCACCAGCACCACTACATCATGAGTATAACCATACCCAGTAGGGTCACTCCTTGCATTGTGCGGTGCCACATTTTTAGTGCGCATGCGTGAGTCGTACAATTTAAGATATGGCTGCGCGCATATCCCTCTTATAACATATAACATATAAACAATATAAACTATAACCTATATGTGATATATATTTTGTGATAGATTAGGGAAAAGTGATATATAATTACAAATACAATATTTCTAATGTAAAAGGATATAATAATACATATAATGATAATGAGTAAGAAAGGTGGATGTTGTGCAATGAAAAATTGTCCAAATATTTCTGGTCGATTGCCTGGGCTCAGTTTTTTTTCCTTTCTGCGAGATCCAGAAAGGTTAGAGTAAGAGTAATAGAAATATTAAATTTTTGTTATAAAATTCATTTGATAACTACTAAGTTTATTTACTGTGCTATGTACTTAGCTATGTAAACATATTTATATATATATTTGGATTTTTTCAGATCTAGTTTATGGTTAAGAAATTGTGGGCGTATTATTGAAACTTCAATAGAAAATTTACATAAAAATTATCGTGTTTGTGAAAATCATTTCGAATTATCTATGTTTTTAAATGATTTAAAAAACCGGTTGCAGCCACATGCATTTCCAATACCATTAGATAATCATTTAATACAGTCGAATTCATTGTTAATTTCCGACAATCAGATATTTTCAAGTAATGATGGTAAAAACGTTACTAACTTTATTTTTTTTTATTTCTTTGATCTGCCTTAATATAGAAATTTATATTTATTTTGTAGATATACCCGCAACTAGTAGTTCGAGTCAAATTATAAATCAAGAAGAACAAAAGGATCAGCAAATACAGAGTGACTTTATTAGAGAAAGTAAAAAAATACAAACTGATGCTAAATTAACAAGTCATTCGCCACGAAAACAGGCATTCAGAAAGAAGATACGTTTATTGCAAAGGCAATTGAAAAATTTTAAACAACAACATTTAAAACTACAACAAAAATTAAAACAACAAAAAAGCAATATAGTCAGTAAACTTACTTTGGAGGAATATTGCAATGTTACGGATCGATTTGTACCATCGCCCATTGCAGATTTTATAAAGTTTCAAGTCCGTCTGCATCATAAACCATCTAAAAGTAGAAGGTATTCCTTTGAATTTAAAAAATTTTGTCTAGATTTATATTTTAGTGGCTCTAAAACTTATAAGCTTTTATGCAAACAGTTTGCTCTTCCAAGTCCAAAAACTCTGCAACGCATGATTCAAAATTTAAACATTTCTCCAGGCATACATGATTTTATATTGGATATTTTAAAAACAAAATTAATTAATTCAAACTCTCCTTTGGATAAATATTGTGTTTTATGCATAGACGAAGCATCATTAAAAACAAATTTATATTATAATATAAATTTAGATGAAGTAGTAGGTTTTGAAGATCATGGAGAAGGAAAATCTCGATTACCTGCATGCAACGTTGCGGTTTTTATGTTTAAAGGAATTTGTTATAATTGGAAACAGCCTTTGGCGTATTATTTTCTCAATTCTACGATTTCTGCTAATCAATTAAAAAATATTATAATT